CGCTCCCCAGGGGGCGCGCACCCGGCGATCTCCGTGATCGCTGTGTCCTACGGACACAGCTGATCACGTGATGTGGTAAAAGGCCAATCACAGCGGCCTTTTACCACGTGATCAGCGGTGTCCAATGACACGTTGATCAGAGGGAAATGCAAGTGCTGGTTCTCGGCTGCACTTTCCTCACGCTGTCAGATCGTGAGGAAAGTACTGCCGAGAAACGGCAGTTGTCAGAGCGGGGATCGGCACTGATGATCAGTGCCCTGATGATCGGTGCCCAGCAGTACCACCCGCAAGTTCCGCCCACCTGTGCCCAGCAGTGCGCCCACTAGCTCCGCCCACCTGTGCCCAGCAGATCACCCACCTGTGCCCAGCAGTGCACCCACCTGTGCCACTCTGCAGTGTCACACACCCTATGCCCAGAAGTGCCACCTACCTGTGCCCAGCAGTGCCACCCACCTGTGCCCACCCGCCTGTGCCCACCAGTGCCACCCACCTGTGCCCACCCACCAGTGCTGCCCACCAGTGCCACCCACCAGTGCCGCCCACCAGTGCTGCCAGTCAGTGCCCAGGGGTTGTACCAGTCAGTGCCGCCAGTCAGTGCCCAGCAGTGATGCCAGTCAGTGCCGCCTATCAGTACCCATCATCAGTGTCACCTATCAGTGCCGCCTATCAGTGCTGCATATTAGTGCCGTCTATCCGTGACACCTCATTAGTGCTGTCTATCAGTGCCGCCTATCCGTGCCACCTCATTAGTACTGCCTATCAGTGCCCTTTAGTGCTGCCTATCAGTGCCCATCAGTGCCGCCTCATCAACGTACATCAGTGAAGGAGAAAAAATACCTGTTTGAAAAATTTTATAATAGAAACAAAGAAACTTTTTTTTTTTCAAATTTTTTGCATTTTTTTTATATTATAGCGCAAAAAGTAAAGCGCCCAGCGGCAATTAAATATCACTAAAAGAAAGCTCTATTTGTCAGAAAAAAATGATCAAAATTTCATATGGGTACAATGTTGCATGACCGCGCAATTGTCAATCAAAGTGCGGCAGCGCTGAAAGCTGAAAATTGGCCTGGTAAATAAGGGGGTATAAGTGCCTGGTAGGCAAGTGGTTAAATGAACTCACCAGAGCTAATGGCTGGTCAGATTATAAACCAGCAACAGCACTTGTGCTCTGGGAGCAATGAACCTGATGTCCAAATAAATATGGTGATGTTTCAGATACTTCCAGATAATAATAATCACAGCCAAACAACTTTGCAGCCCAAGCTCTTATGATGAACTTCTCCACTCTTTCTCATACCTCCATGAGAGCATGCAGTACACTCAGGGACAAAAAAGAGAACATAATGGTGCAATACGTTTTTTTCATTTATCTCTTTAATAAAAAAGGTATAAGGAAACTCACAAACAAGGTGTCCAACAGACACCAGCTTCAATCGCAAAAAAGGGTTGAGATACAGTTAACGCTCACCGCAGATCTCTCCCATACAGCACAGAACAGCAAGGCTCTCTAACGTCCACATCGAGTAGGCTACGCCCAACCGGTTTTGTCACACCACCCCTTGATGACGTCGGTGTGACGGAACCGGTTGGGCGTAGCCTACTCGATGTGGACGTTAGAGAGCCTTGCTGTTCTGTGCTGTATGGGAGAGATCTGCGGTGAGCGTTAACTGTATCTCAACCCTTTTTTGCGATTGAAGCTGGTGTCTGTTGGACACCTTGTTTGTGAGTTTCCTTATACCTTTTTATTAAAGAGATAAATGAAAAAAACGTATTGCACCATTATGTTCTCTTTTTTGTCCCTGAGTGTACTGCATGCTCTAATGGAGTATGAGAAAGAGTGGAGAAGTTCATCATAAGAGCTTGGGCTGCAAAGTTGTTGTCTGTGATTATTACTATCCGGAAGTATCTGAAACATCACCATATCTATTTGGACATCGGGTTCATTGCTCCCAGAGCACAAGCGCTGTTGCTGGTTTATAATCTGACCAGCCATTAGCTCTGGTGAGTTCATTTAATCTCCTTTGGTGGTGGATTTTTCACAATTGGTTTAAGTCACTGAAGATCTATATATATTTTTTGGACACATTTTTGTACATAGTTTGGTTGTTATTTGGTGTTTTTCACTGTCACCTTTATTTTGTCACTTGCATTGTTTATGATTTAATGGTTTTTGGAAGTGTGTCATTTGTCTCAATAAACTTATTTTAACCTTATTCAGTCCAATTCCTGATACAGCCTACTGATCTGATCACCATTGCTAGATGCCTGCATCCCTGAATCCTGGTCACATTTTGCTTCCCATTATACTCTGTGGGCATTCCCTTCTGTTATTCACTTTTGTCATTCCATAGAAAGCAATAATAATCCCACTTAATCTCAATTTTTAACATTACCACTGAATTTGCAGAGTATGTCTGCTAAGGATTTATGTGATATTTTTTAATGGTTCTGACTCCAGGTCACAATTTGTTTCCCATTATACTCTATGGGTAGTCCTTTCTGTCATGCATCTGTCATTCCACAGAAAACAGCTATATTCCTAAATTATTTCAATTTTACAATCTGCCACTCTACTTGGGGAACACCTGTGGGAAAGGTGAAATTGCTGTTTCTCAGATTTGTCTGCAGATTGTATTTTACATTATTCTCTATGGGCACTCCCTTCTGTTCCATTATTGTCTATGAGCATCCTGATGCCCTGTTTGAGTCTATGGGCATTCTATCCTGCCATTCCTTTTTATTATGTCCCCAGAAAAGTAATTTTCACAACATGTTATAAAATGGCTTGTGTAGTGGTTACACATAATTAGTTTATCAATGAAAGTGGAACTCTGCTCTTCACAACTATTTTATATTAGGAGCACTATTTAGAACTCCATAGAGTCTGCAGACATAGATCCAATGCAATCAGACATACACTATACTGCCAAAAGTATTGGGACGCCTGCCTTTACACACACTTGAACTTTAATGACATCCCAGTCTTAGTCCTTAGAGTTCAATATTGAGTTGGACCCACCCTTTGCAGCTATAACAGCTTCAACTCTTCTGGGAAGGCTGTCCACAAGGTTTAGGAGTGTGTCTATGGGAATGTTTCACCATTCTTCCAGAAGCGCATTTGTGAGGTCAGGCACTGATGTCGGACGTGAAGGCTTAGCTCACAGTCTCCACTCTAGTTCATCCCAAAGGTGTTCTGTTGGATTGAAGTCAGGACTCTGTGCAGGCCAGTCAAGTTCCTCCACCCCAAACTCACTCATCCATGTCTTTATGGATCTTGCTTTGTGCAATGGTGTGCAGTCATGTTGGAACAGAAAGGGGCCATCCCCAAATTGTTCCCACAAAGTTGGGAGCATGAAATTGTCCAAAATGTCTTGGTATGCTGATGCCTTAAAAGTTCCCTTCACTGGAACTAAGGAGCCAAGCCCAACCCCTGAGAAACAACCCACACCATAATCCCCCCTCCACCAAACTTTACACTTGGCACAATGCAGTCAGGCAAGTACCGTTCTCCTGGCAACTGCCAAACCCACACACCTCCATGGGATTGCCAGAGAAACGTGATTCATCACTCCAGAGAACACGTCTTACTGCTCTAGAATTCAGTAGCGGCGCGCTTTACACCACTGCATCCAACGCTTTGCATTGCACTTGGTGATGTAAGGCTTGGATGCAGCTGCTCGGCCATGGAAACCCATTCCATGAAGCTCTCTATGCACTGTTGTGCTAATCTGAAGGACACATGAAGTTTGGAGAGCTTTGGCGACTTCTGCACACTGTGCTCTTCAGCATGCGCTGACCCCGCTCTGTCATTTTACGTGGCCTATCACTTCATGGCTGAGTTGCTGTTGTTCCCAGTTGCTTCCACTTTGTTATAATACCACTAACAGTTGACTGTGGAATATTTAGTAACAAGGAAACCTTATTGCACAGGTGACAACCTATCACGGTATCACGCTTGAACTCACTGAGCTCCTGAGTGACCCATTCTTTCACAAATGTTTGTAGAAGCAGTCTGCATGCCTAGGTGCTTGATTGTATAGACCTGTGGCCATGGAGGTGATTGGAACACCTGAATCCAATGATTTGGAGGGCTGGCCCAATACTTCCAGCAATATAGTGTATACTGTGTCTCATTCGCTACCTACACTACTGGCAGTACCTGAGCTCCGCCCACTCCTTGTGAATGACAGCCCCCTACTATACAATTCTCAGTACCAGAGCCCCGCCCTATCTTGGTGAGTGACAAGCTCTCCTCCCACACTGCTCTGTTCCCGAGCTCTGTCCTCTCCTGTGAGCGACGAGAGCCCCCTCTCATTCAGTTCTCAGTACCACAGCTTCGCCCTATCCTTGGGAGTGACCGCCCCTCTACAATACAATTCTCAGTACCTGAGCTCCGCCCTCTCTTTGGGAGTGACAGCCCCTATACTATACAATTCTCAGTACCTGAGCTCCGCCCTCTCCTTAGGAGTGACAGCCCCCCTACTATACAATTCTCAGTACCTGAGCTCCCCCTCTCCTTAGGAGTGACAGCCCCCCTACTATACAATTCTCAGTACCAGAGCTCCGCCCTAGTCAGTCACAAGCTCTCCTCCCACACTGCTCTCAGTTCCCGAGCTCTCCTGTGAGTGACAACAGCCCCCTCTCATACAGTTCTCGGTACCAGAGCTCCACCCTATCCTGGTGAGTGACAGCCCCCCTCCCACACGGCTCTCAGTATTAGAGCTCCGCCCTATTATGTTGCGTAACAATCCCCACCTACTGTTCACGGACCCAGCCTTTAGCTGCCCGATTGCTGCCTGCGCGGCTTTTGATTGGGTGTCTTTCAATGACTCGTAGGTCCTCTCTGTTAGCTGCCTTTGCAGTGCCTGCTGGTCCCCAGCTGCTGTGGAAGCTGTAGGCATTGCGGTTCCGCCATTGCTTCTGTTCCTGGACGTCCCTGCGAGTGTCCTGTCAGAGCTCCCCCTACATTCCCCTTGGCAGCTCTTCCTCAGACCGGCAGCATGTTGGAGGAAGCAGGAGAGGTGTTTGATAACATGCTGAAAGCGTCATTCCCGCTTACGTTCATCGTCTTCATCCCCGCCGTGCTGCTCCTCGTGTCCCCGCTGCAGGCCGAGGCTGCTCATGAGTTCACCGTGTACCGCATGCAGCAGTACGACCTGCAGGGACAGAGCTACGGTCAGTGACAGCTGAGGGGCCTTCATTGCCGTCTGAGAGCCTGATAAGCACTACGTCAGCACATAGAATTGATGTCCTGATCCAGTACTCGAAATGACTATCTCCAGACAGTTGTCTTTTTTTAGTTTTGGGTAGGATGGGAACTACTACATGTCGGGTCACGTTTTTAATTTATCCTGTGACCCCAGTGGGTACATTTTCCTTGACTTCCTGCCCCTGTGACACTGGGGACATTAAGGTGTGGTCAGCAATAAAAAAAAAAAAACATTTTTCCCTCAGCCACAATGTATTTTTTAAATCTTTGTCCCCATTGGAGACACTTTATATCATTTCCTGTCCTGACAAGAAATAACAGGATATCTCTCTCAGCAGGGACAGATATCTAGACTACATCCAAACACATTGAAAATGAAAGTGGTGTGGCTGGCATTGGGTCTCCATTTTCATTCAGACCATGGCAATGTCTATTCCCAGGGATGTTTTATGGATAAAACATTGGCATCCTTTGTTTTATACTCCAGCTGTAGTAGTCCTGGTACCATATAGAATAGTTATGAGGGGGATGTACCTGGTTTACAGGAGATTAGACTGTGAGATGTGTAAAATGACTCCTAGACTTTGTAGGAGATAGGGACTCGTTGGTCTGAACAATCTCTCCATTAACATTCACATCTGAGCCTTCTGTGAACATGGGGAAGTGCACTTGTGGTGCCGTTGACCCCTAGTTCACACAGCAGTGCGATTTGACCTGCAATTCAGCAATGCAGTATTCATGCGATGTGTAAACACTCTCATCCCACTCTGTGGAAAATCTGATGCCAAACTTGCACATCACCCTTGCCAAATCGCAGTGCGAATCACCTGCACATATATTAACACTTTCCATAGAAACGCAGCCTATTACAAATGTCATCCGAATCTGGTTCCTAAAGTCGCATCTAAAGTGTTACTAAACCCACAACCGTAAAGTCTGTATATGCAGTAAAGCAGGGCTTGAAATTTCCACTCACCTGCTTGCCAATGGCGAGTGGAAATTATGGTGGGGGCGAGTGTGTCCCCCAGGTCCGTCTTGCTGAGCAGGCTCGGAGCTCAGGCCAGATCTGTCATTGGCACTGGGAGACGTCAGACTGCTCAATAGCTGAGCGCAGTGAAAGCAAAGGAAGGAGTGTTGCTGTGCTCTCTGCCTCCCACTGGAGTGCAGTACCCGGATCTGTGAGTGAACAACGAAGTACTGCACCTTTTTATGGGGGGGGGGTCTGTATGCATGCACAATTGTACATGTGTGCGTATATGTGTCTATGTGCGTATATGTGTCTATGTATATGTGTATGTATGTACGTGTGTATGTACATGTCTGTGCATGTGTATTTCTGTGTATGTATCTGTGTGTATGTATGTCTGTACATGCCTGTGTGTCTCTGTGTGTGCGTGTACATGTCTGCGTGTGTGTACAGGTGTCTCTGTGTGTGTTTGTTGGTAGCGAGTAACTGTAAAGCCTGGCTAGTAGCTCAGGACTTGAAATTTTAATCCCTGCAGTAAAGCATGCTTGTTATATTCACTGTGGAACCTAAGGGGTTAATCCTCTGCATTATGTGAAAAGACTGTTTGATCCTGTCTTCTCTGATTTTCCCCCTCTACTGTCCTCAATCCACCTGCTGATAGTACAGAGCTCTAGGAGTCACTCTGCACATGCTCAGTTTAGTGTGTATTGGTAGAGTTTTTTTGGTCTTGGTAGAGTGCATGTACAGGGCCAATCAGCACTGTCCACAGACGGTCGGGGGTTATGCAGCCTCATAGGACAGTTAGAGGAGAATGAAAACTACAAGAATAACCAGTGCTCAGCCTGATTTGATAGAAGTCACAAGACTGCTGTAAGTGCTGATGAGAAAAGGTATTTAGCAGTCTATATTTACTAAAATAATTGCATTTCCATGTTCTGTGTACTGGGGAATACCAGATACAGTGAATGCAGGGTCCTGGGTTTAGTAGCACTATAAAATCACATCTATGTGAACTAGGGCTCATTGTTAATGGCAAGCAGATGAGTGTTTTTGCGTGAAGATCAACGCCTGAAAAGGTACAGGACCTTCCTTGACATGTCTTGGGCAGCCCCATTCAATGAAGGGGCTGCCCTATGCATGTAGCAACATAAAAAGCACGCATTTACAATACGCTGGGTGTAAAGCTAGCGATGATAGCCACACGTGGCTGTTATTGCTTCCCCTCTGAAAATCAATTTGTGGTGGGTCACACTTTAGAGAGCTTTTGACAGGCAATGAGGAGGTGATATGTTATCTCCTCAACGCCTGTGTTAACCCTCAAAATGCCAGCCATCTGCCCAACAACATTGTGCAGCCCCAATCACTTGAATGGGTCACATTCAGCAGCAGTACCGTCCGCCACATGCCATTTCATTTTTGCCTCAGCCATGAAGCAAAGCATCAGGACTGCCGCGTGTGTACAGTCCTGTGCAACTACATTTCTGTGTTTAGGTAGGTGGGGGGGGGGGGGCAATAAAGTTGCAGCACATCCACCTGTGTGAACAAGACCTTAGATTGTTACTGTTACACCTGTGAAGAGGCAGAAGCCATGGTTGATCTTGTTTCGGTGGGAAAACCATTTTGATTTGCTTTAAGGTTCAATGCACACTACTTTTTTGGGTTTTTTTAAGTTCCTAGAAGCTATTATGAACATTTTTTTTTCCTGCTTCTAAAAGCTAATTGTGTCATCCTATGTATTCATGCACACCATTTTATGCTGGAAGCATTTTTCAAGCTTCAGCGTTTAGGAGCAGAAAAAAAAATTGCTTTTATAGAGTTTTCTGGAGCATTTTCCTAGCAGTAAAAAACACTGAACTCTCCTAAATGCTCCCAACGGCTTTTTTTTCCAAGCTTTTTTTTTTTTTCATGTACTGTAAAAACACTAATAAACCACTAATGCTCCTAAAATGCTACTACAAACCACCACAAAAACGTGTTTTTCATCTAGCGGTTTTTCTTTTTTCTAGTGTTTTTTGAGCTTATTAAAAACACTAGTGTGCAGGGAGCCTTAAAGAGAAATGTGCAGTCAGTTGCTATTTAACTCTGCGATTGGTAGGTCAGATGTGTGTGCGGGGATCTGCTGGTGCTCATACATAATGGGGATGGTTACTTGATTAGTCCAAAATCAGCCAGGTCACATGACAGATTTCTTCTGGTATCTTAAGGTTCCATTCACACCTGCACAATGTTCCTTGAAGCTCCAAATCACTTATGCAGGCCATAGACGGGTCGAAAACCGGCTGTTTTTTTAATAAAAAAAATGAAAAATCGGTTGTTCGATCGGCCGACGTTACCACCAACAATAAAAAAATCAGCCGATTTTCGTCCCGTCTACGGCCGGCATTTAATTAACTTCTGTCCCTTGCAGAGAGCTCCGCTATTATATTTGACATGAAAAAAATGTATAGTGATTGCAACATTGTATCTATTTTTATCCATTTCTGATACAGATGTTTTTATTCGGATACAAATAGATACATTTTTGCAACCGCAATACTTTTTCGTGTCAAATATAATAGCGGACTGGAATTCTAATTCTTCTTTTTCTTCTGTTTTCTTCTTTTTTTTCTTCTTCTTGCAGGTCACGGCTCATGCTCAGATTTTTTTATCGGTAAAACGATTGGCCGATTTGCCCATCATTGCCAGCAAAATCTGACATTTTTTATCCAACTTTACCAATAAAAAAAAATGTGCCAAAACCCCGAAAAAACGGCGCCCGACCAATTAACCCACTAACGGTGCGAAAATCAGCCTATTTTTTTTTTTTCTTTTTTTCGGCTGACAAAATCGGACAATTTTCGACCCGTCTATGGCCTGCCTTAGTAACCAAAATCTGGTATCTTAAAGTTCTATTCACACCTGATCAGTTTTGTACCTTGAAGCTCCAAATCACTTAGTAACCAAAATTCTATGTATTTCAATGGAAGCTGTTCACACGTGAGCACTCAGGTCCTTGTAGTTCAACGCCTTATGCTCTTAAAGCTCCATGAGCTACTTTTTGAAGCAGAATTGAGTATTTTTGGCCCCATAGACTTTAATAGGAATGCCTGAAAATCAAGCATTTTTGTGCATTTTTTTTCAAGAATTTTTTTTTCAGCCTGTTAGAACTGGTTTGTTTCCCTCAGAGTCCTTTCACAAGGGCGGTGTTTTTTTTTTTTTTTTTCCATCAGTTCAGACAAGTTTTTTCCAAGAAAAGATGGATGAGTTCACGTCAGTTTATCATCAGTTCTCGTCAGTTTACATCCATTTTTGAAATCCTTTACCAATGCAGAAATGGACCGTATGTCCTTTAACATCCGTTTTTGGGCGTTAACATCCATTTTTGTGTCTGTTACGGGTTTTTTTTTACAGAAGGAAAATAGCAATGTCTTCTGCTAAAAAAAAAAAAAAGGATGTTAACAGATACAGACTTTATTGGATGTAAACAGATGATTATCCGCTTACATCTGCTAGTCCATAGCAATACATGGGTGTCTGTTTGTCATCCTTTAAATGAAAAACAGACATACGGAACGTCCATGTGAAAGGGGCCTCAGTGTTTTCCATTAGCTAAAGCACAAATTACTAAACCTTGATTACACATGTAAAAAACTAAGATATGGGCACAAAAACATAACAAAAATGCCTGAAAAATTGCTCTGATCATTTGTGAATGCAGCCAAATATCTGTTTTTCTCTAGCAAGCCTAAAGATGAATATACTTTATTTTTTTCTTTCAGTCAGCAAAAACATGAACAAGAAATAAATATTAAGAGATTCCTCCATCCACACAAGTGTGGTGTTAGTGGCTGCAGCCACTGATTGTGGAAAATTTTCCAAGATGTCCCTTCAACAGAAGTCGATCAAGCACGGCCACACTTATTGAAATTTGCCCGATCCATGCTGAACTGGCTGCATTTGGATCAGTGTGTGTGGTCAACTTAAGGCTTCATTTACACAGGGGCATAGATCTACACATCCATCAAGAGGCATTTGGTTTTGCTCCCAGAATAGCATATACAGCCACACCCAGAAGACTGTTAAAAATCAATGAGAGTCCTGGAAGCAGTCGGTCTGCATCTAAAGCTGCTTATCTGTCTCTGTATGCAAGTACATGCTGAAATGTGTTTGAGTCGTACAGCTGCTGCACCTGTCAGTCTCATTGATTTTTAACAGACTTCTCAATGTGGCTGTATGCCACTTCAGGAACAATCAACCAGTAAATCTATGTGCCCATGTGAATGAAGCCTTTACTGTGTGTGCTATGAAAGGATACAGAGGAGGTTCAAGATGTTTTTTTAAAAAAAGTGCCTGCGTTATCTTATAGGAAATCTGTCATTGAGAGAAATGATTAAAGTTGGAGAGGCAATATATATTTTTTCCACGTTAATAACAGGCTACGTAATGTATAATATTTAACAGGTATTTATTACCTCTAACAGAGATCACAGTACAGTCCCCAACAACACACTTTCATCTGGTTTTCTATTCAGTAAAACAGCACCATATTTGTTCAAGCTTCATCCAGGACAGGCATCTCCTTCCTGAGGTACTGACAGAGAAGACATAGTCATGCAAATCCTGATGCCTGTGCAGCTCTTTACTGTGTTCCAAGATCTCTGACACAATCTCTCAAATTGTGACTTGCTACAAAGTTACAATATTGCAGTATGATTACTTGTGGAGGGGGTGACTGAGAAAGTGCATCCTCCTGACTGCAGCAAACTGACAGCATCATCTCAGTCTATTAAAAGCAGGGTGGATAAAAATCAATGATTTTTTTTAAAAAAATTAAAAAAATCTGATTTTTTTTTTATTTAAATCAGATTTTTTTAAATAAAATGCTTTTTGAGGAAAATATATTACCATCCAAAGGTTATTCCATCATGAAATAAAGATTAGGTTTTTAATTATGTAGAATAAGGCTGTATATGTTTAATTTTTTGGGTAAATAAATGCCATTAATCCATTCACAATGTCATGCTCTTCCAGAGGTTTTTGTAAGATTATTGGGCAGTTTCTCTGCCTACAAGATATTATCACAGATGCTTGGTTTACTTTTGCAGTTCTCAAAACTGAATTTGACTCAGCGGAGATCACATGCCTCTTCTTCACAGCAAAAATGTTATAACATGAACAGAGTTAAGAAAAAGACCTTAATCCTAACTTCTACAAACCTATGAATACAGAATCAACCACTTCAGTGCTAAGTTTCAAGAAGTTCAGTGAATAGAATAGAAACAATATTTTTCTGATTGTTTGGAGTGGAATAGATCTGCACAAGAAGAAAGTGAAACTAAGTGTGAGGAGGAAGGGGCTGACAGTCTAAGTTTCTTAAAATATATATATATTTTGTTTAGCCAAATTAGTTAACAAACATGGATGTTTGTTTAAGCAAATAACATATGCAGGAATTTTATTGTTTCAGTTGAATAAATCTATTTAAATTGTTATTATTAAGGTAATGATTATTTTTCTCCTTCCTAAGTACAACAGAAAGGTTGTCCAAATATGAATGATTAACCTATTAAACTGGGGATAAAAAAAAACTAATATGAAAAGTTATTCTAAAAATCTTCATCTTGCATATTAAAGTTATACCAGCAAGAATTAGTCTATGTAGAAAACTATGATTTAAATCAAGCCTTACTGACTAGTGATTTAAATCGTGATTTAAATCAGTTTGATTTAAATCAAATCCACCCTGATTAAAAGTCACTTGATAGAAGCGCAAGGGCAGTCTAATGATAAAAGGTGTAGCTTAAGGTGGAGTTGAATAGATTGAAGTTGATTAATAAAGTAAACAGTTAAAAAAAAAAAAAAAATAGAGATAGCAATACCTTGTTTTTACTTTTATTTCCTTGATTTTTCTATACAGCCCGGCAATGCCCAAATGAGGGAATGGGCTTAGTTGAATGCCCTGGTGATGTTGTTTCCGATATTACATGCCCTCCCTTCCAGGTGATTCAGAGTGGCGTGCATTGTCAGTCAGGCATCTGATCTGTTTGCAACAGCGCACTCAATGCATTCAAATCATTAGTCTTCCATTGCTTTGTGAATGCTGAGATTTTTCCTACTTTAGACATACTCAGCTGTAACATAAGAAAACTAGCCACATAAGAATTAAAATTCAACTTTTTTTTTTTTTTTTTTGCGGATTACTAATAATTTTTAAATTCAGAATCCAAGTTCACTTAGAAGAAGTGGCTGTTCAGTCGTTTTCAGAAATTCTGTAATCTGTCCTAGATGCCAGTTCTTATACTTGTGCAAGGAAGGAAAATGCTACCCTTTTTCTAAATGTTAAAGCTGTGAATTTTTATATTCTTTTTCTTTTCTTTTTTTTTTGTGTAGGTACTCGTAATTCGGTACTAAACACAGAGGCCCGTACAGTAGAGGCAGACCTGCTGAGTCGACGATGTGTGCTTATGCGCTTAGCAGACTTCTCCTTTCAACAGTATCAGAAAGCACTTCGTCAGTCAGCGGGGGCAGTGGTGATAATCCTGCCTCATGAAATGGCAGCGTTGCCACAAGATATTGTGCAGGTGAGAAAATTCCCAAGTATCCATGTCAAATTGCACTCAAATATTTCAGCTGTCATTTGCTGACTTTTTTTCCAACATTGCTGGTTGCCTGGATGCTTCTTGCTGCAATAAATTTGAGTTGCTGAGCTGGAACACACACATGCAAGAAGTCAAATCATGATCTGTATATTTTTTCCAGGACAGTATTGGAGTCGTAGGACCAAACAGCCAGTCAGATAGCATTTTAGAAGGAAAATTATGAAACAAACTGTATATTTCCCTTTGCAGTTGATAGTTTTGCTGACTGGGCTGAAGTCTTGTATGTTTGAAGGACATATCCCTGTTACATATTTAGCTCAGACATCATTTACATTAAGGATATGGTTTGTTATGTAGAATTTGAGAGACCAATTCAACTTTTGTTGTAGACATCACGGCCCATGGTTCCTGTAATGTTTTTCATGTTCTCATTGTTTTGCAGCAATTTATGGATATTGAACCTGAAATGCTTTCTATGGAGACTCAGGTCCCAGTATACTTTGCAGTGGAGGATGCAGAGCTAATATCCATATATGAACAGACTCTCGCAGCTTCTGCAAGTCAGGGCACCTCTTCTGCTGCTGAAGGTAACACTGTTTTTAAGATCTGGTTTCAGTGTAAAGTGTTTTATACAGGATAAACAAACAGAATGTCAGATGCTGTGTGTAGATCATATATTATATAATTTCTCCCCATACAGTGCTTCTCCATACAGCTACTGCCAATGGCTTCCAAATGGTGACTAGTGGAGCACAGAGTAAGGCTGTTAGTGATTGGCTTGTAACCAGTGTGGAGGTAAGCTTGCTTGAAGGAATTCAAACTAATATGAATTTTGGATACATCCTTTAAACGCCAAAAGAATGTATAATTCATATTTTATTGTTATGTATGAAATATTCAGAGTAAATAAAGTAAACCTGACACAAAACTGGGCTATATGAATTAAAAATGTAAACTGTTCTCCACTTTGCATGTAACACTCAAGCTTAGTCCAGCCCCCTACTCACCAAGGCTGCCTATTATAGTGCTTTAAAAGATAAGTTCACCTTCGGGAACATTTTACATGTTCCACCTGTTTTTAGGGTGAAACATGTAACGTGTTCCTAGTGCTGCAGCTGTGCCCGCTGCTTCCTCCTCCCTCTGATAGATGGGGAAAAGTTCCCCCGTATGATCTGTCAGATTTGAAAACCACACAGCTGTGCGGGGCTCTGCCCACATGGCCGCGTCATTCATTCACAGAGTTCCGTGAATGAATACGCTACAAGGCCTGACAACCTTAGCGGCTGTCAGTTTGTAGTTCTCAGTGAAATACCACAGAGCTGTGGAGTGCCGTGGTAGTTGAATTTTTCTGTCAGTATATATGCTTGTTCCTACATGCTGTACGGGTAAGCAGATATACTTACAGATCTGCAGGAGACCTGCATGGCACCAACGATCTACTGTTCTCTGGTGATATACTTTAAAGACCTCCTGCAGACAAAAATAATAAATACACATACTGCAAAAAAAATGTGCATTTATTATTTTTGTGGAAAGGTGAACGTATCCTTTAATATGATGGGTGCTTCATCTCATAAAAGAGCAATGGGGGGCTCAGAAAGTTTCATTAGAACCAAGTTCAGATTTTAACAGTCAAGAGTATAGTTCTTGTAATGAGAGAATCCTGTAGGTTGCCATTGTTTGACCTCAGTTTAGGAATATAAGGTTCCTGACTGTCATGCTGATGCTTTAGCTTCAGTGCTTACTGGACCTGGAACAAGCATAGAGATGAGAAACATTCATTAATTATATGCTTGTTCAAGGTTTGTAACTTAGGTAATAGGGCCAGGCAATCCGGATTGACAGATGGAGCACCTCAATGGTAGCCTAAGAATCTCTGTTCTGACAGGTAAACTTTGAGCTACCTAAATCTCTACTTGAGGCTACTAAAGGTAGCCACTTCTTGTGCATATTCTTCCCACACCAGGGAAAATAAATAAAGGGGCCTGCAGCACAAAGTGGTGTCCAGGGCGTGCTTGGCAAGTGGTGTTATATTGATTCTGTGGCATGGAGTTTTTGAACTGTTAGTGCTTTGCTTTGTGTTATGATCTGCACAAATGCTGGGCACAGGTCTAGGTATGGAAATAGTAATGTTTTGACAGTGGTGTTTTTTTTTTTTTTTTTTTATCTGTTAAGTGGTGGACAGTTTGCTCTATAGGCGTTTGGCTATGAAATTAGCGTTATTGACTCCACATGGCAGCAAAACTCAGTTTTCTACCCGGTATTGTAAAGCCTCTCTTATGTATTATTTCTTATCTTTATGCAGGGACGGTTGACTGGTCTTGGCTCAGAAGACCTTCCTACCATTGCCATTGTTGCTCACTATGACTCATTTGGCGTTGCTCCGGTAATTCTCACACACCAATGTATTGTAGTGTACAAGACATTCTGTTTGTGATCTAAATTTTTCTTGTAGTTTTCAAGGAATATTAAAGTGGAACTGCACTGCATCTGAGCACCACAAACCAAAAATGCTATTTAATTCATTTTTAATATTCAAAGCAAACTCACGGATCCATCCATGTCTCCATGCTTTATTTGCTGAGAAATCATTTTGAAAAACACCCCCTGGCGTTTCTGGCCATGGCCATCTTGAGTAAGGGCAGATGATTCATGTAGCATTTACTTCCTGGAATCTATCTGCCCTTAGTTCAGGCATTGGCTGAGCTGATAACCCTCCCTCCCGTCCTGAAGACTCCTGGGATGTATGGCATTATTTGCCTAGGCATGGAAATAAGGAAGTAACTGAAGAAATGTAAAAAAAAAAAAAAAGTTTAAAACTAGTAAATGATATACTTTCCTATCTATTTAATAATGCTTGCAGCATAAGGATTAAAATAGTCCATGTTGATTGAGAGAGTGAAGTTCCACTTTAATGCAATAGCGATTGTTTAATTAGAATTGGGGAAATTGATAAATACACATATATGCATATCATCTTGGGAAAAAAAAAAAAAATTTAAACTTCCCTTTTCAAAACCTTTATAGCTCCCAAACTTGTGAACATTTTTGAAGTATAGTTTTAAGCATTTTAGAAACTGTTATGCTGTGGCAACTGAAAACACTTTTATTCTTTGCAGTGGCTGTCATATGGGGCGATTCCAATGGAAGCGGAGTGGCTGTCCTTCTGGAGCTGGCACGTCTCTTCTCAAGACTGTACACTTACAAGCGGACACATGCCAGGTTAGATTCCCAAACATAGCACTCTGACCTAGTTATACCAGCCTTGCATCATGTTTCTGTTTCTCTCTGGCTGGGCTGGAATGAAGCAAGGCCTTAACTACACCCTAGATGTTTTAGAACTATGTTGCAGCATTTAATCCATTGTCTATCTTGCATTGGCTAAATTTTCTGTAATTTGAAGGTGTAAACCATTTCATTTCTGTACTGCATTTGTTTTTAGGGGCATCTTTATCCTATTTATTTAAGATACATGTGTAATTCATGTAAATAAGTGGTTCAAAAGTCCCAGTTTCTGTGAATACTATGTGTGTCCTAAATTCCCAGTGGTGTAAGGGTCCAATGTACAGAAATTAACTGTTTAAAATAATTTAGAAAACAGTGCAGCAGCTCGGGGCATATAGAATACAGTACACTGTATAGACAGTGGTCTAGAGTATGTAAAATGCAGCACAGCATACAGACTGCAGTGGTCTTGACTATTAAAAGGATAAGTTCACCTTTTGTAACATGTTACACCCATATTCAGGGTGTAACATGTTACAAAAGCAGCAGCCCCCATGGTCCAGAGTATGGAACTTATAGCGCAGCATACAAATACATACAGTATGGTGTGCAAGAGTCTTCTTTACATTGATGGTCAGTTGGGGAAGGAATGTTTCTATAGATAGCCAAGGAGAATCCTTTTAATCTAGTTGTTGCTTGCCTCAAAGATGACTCTCCACTAGTCTATTGCTGTCGTGTGCCTAGTGACATCTGCATCTACTGTATGCAAGAATTATGCAAGCACCATCAAGGGACCGATCAATCTACCTACATCCTTGGTGTATGGACATGTGCAGTTGACTGATTTCTGTAAACGCCAATGTACACCATCATGTTGCAGTATATTGTGTCCTCAGCAAACATGGTGACAGAACCTTTGTTAAAAAATTCTGAACTGTGTATTTCTGCAAATCATAGACTTTTGGCTCTTGGTTGGTAAGAGCCTGAAGTTCTGGTGCAACTCTCTGGAAGTGTGAGGATGGGGAGAGCAACCACACTTTCCTAGATTGTTGTTTTAATAGAATTATCGGTCAGTTAACCCCATCCCTTAAATGCAGCTAAATCTTTGATCCCCACTTTGTGGGGTCAAACCTTAGTTCCGACTTTAGCCCAATGGTTACGTAAAGTGGATGATATTTGTTTTCTAATAGATTTAACTCATATTGCCAAGGGAAAAGTTAGTCAGCAATGCAAAATATGGGCCAGCTGGTTTGAGTCCAAACATCAACTACATATGGTTACATAGTTAGTCTGGCTGAAAAAAGAGAGAAGTCCACCCAGTTCAACCATGTTGTGTATTTCCTGTCTAATTCTTAGTAAACGGATATTAAACTAAAAAGAAAAAAAAAAGGATTATCTGATTTGAAATACAGTATATGGTCATGGGAATGCCATTACTACTTTGTAGTATAGCATTGTATGTACCGTTGCTGATTCTTTTCTGATGTCCATCAGGCTGATTGATGTCAATGATCTTGACAGTCCTCCAATACTGATATTAATTGCATTCCCCAATGACGTAAACCAGATAGTACAGCTATAATTAAAATAACTTATGCAACATCTGTACATTTTGAGGCACAGTCAAAAGGCACCATTGAGCTAGTGCACAGAAGAAAAGGGAACATCGTAAACATCATTAATGAGAAGCGCATTAATGTACCTATACCATCAAGAGTAACTATCAATACAGGTCAGGGAGGAAGGGTAAGGCGAGGAAAAGGTGGAGGTTCCAGGGGAGCTGCCGTGTACTGCTAGGAGAACACAATGTGCACGGAGCACATCTGGAAGTTGGTATTTTGGCCTGCCACCTGCAATTCATCATGGGTCAATTTGTCCAACCTCCGCAATGACTAACTGGTGGAAAGGGAGGGATGGAGACAAATAGTTTGCTTCTCCAAAGTCAGTATTTGCATAATTGAGTTTATCAGGTTTTGAGCCTCCCTGAGTGCTCTAGAAAAAAAAATTGAGGATATTTACTGGCATCTAGAGGTACATGCCAAGTTATCACAGAGACAGTGTTTTAGAATAATTACAGGCTTAAAGTGTTTCTAAAGGCTCAAGGTTTTTTACCTTCATGTATTCTATGCAATAATGTAAAAAACCACCTGTGTGTAGCAAGCCCCCTCTGATCCAGCAATGTTCTCAACAGCCTCTGCTGTCTGGGGGCTCTCCTCATTGGCTTATACAGCAACAGGAGCCCATTGGCTCCCGCTGCTGTCAATCACAGCCAGTGAACCAATGAGGAGAGAGTGGGGACGGGGCTGCGCCATGGCTCTGTGTGTCTTATGGATGCGTAGAGCAGCGGCTCAGGGATGTGCATGCAGCGGTGCCCACAGGGCAAGCAGTTTTCCCTGGGGGCATGGCTTGAGGGGGAGGAGCCAGGAGCCTCAGCAGGGACCTGAAACGAAGAGGATCTGGGCTGCTCTGTGAAAAATCACTGCACACAGCAGGTAAGAATAGACGTCTTTTGTTATTTAAAAAAAAAAAAAAATACAAACCTTTAGTGTCACTTTAAATTCAGGAATCAAATGTTTTTTGGACTTTTGCATATGCAGTTACACAGCGCCTTTTTTTTTCTTGTATTTACTGGCTTACGTAGTAACTGTCCAATTTGCGATTGCCTGTGTTTTTATTTAATGTTCCTGTTTTTTGTGATTTTAATTGTTGGTGTCACCTGCCCTTAAATTCACATTTCTCCCATGCACAGTTACAATCTGCTGTTTTTCGCATCAGGAGGAGGGAAGTTTAATTATCAGGGAACAAAGAGATGGTTAGAGGATCATCTGGATCACACAGGTACTATAGAACGCTGACTAGAAGCAGCATTGCAAATGTAGCCACTGAAAAAAAAGAAGTCTGTCACAAGTGAAACATGTGGATTACCTGGTTGATCATCCCCTAAAAAAGCTAGTTGTAATTTTCTTTTCAGAAGAATATAGTAACATATAATTTTAAAAGATCTACATTAGGGCAGTATTTTTTTTATTTTTTTTTCAGGCCAAATGTTCAGCTTGAGAGCCAGGTAACTAGCATTTTCAGAAGGAAGTCAGCAGTGGCAGCCCACATTTTTTTTTGAGAGGATCCCTGTAATGGCAGGGATTTTATGTGTTTTGGCTTTTGAGAAAAAATTTTTTAAATCAAAATGATGTATTTAAGCTGGTAGCCTATTTCTAGAGTGTTATCTCTTCCACTTAAATTTTCATGAGTGTGGGACGGGTTTTGGGGCTGCATCTTAAATGTTTTGTTCTAACCCTTCTAATTTTACATATATTTATAGATTCTAGTTTACTTCAAGAAAATGTGGCCTTTGTACTTTGCCTGGATACAATTGGAACTGGAAACAGCTTGCACCTCCATGTTTCCAAGCCTCCCAAAGAGGGCACCTTGCAACATGCTTTTCTCAATGAGCTGGAAATGGTAAATTACTAAAATTCAGAACAAGTGGACGTCTTAACTGGTTGGAAAAAAGTGTACTGTTTGCCCTTGGCCTCGTTATGCCATATGCTCAAAAAAAGTTTTGGAAAAAATGTGCAGACTTCACTTGCAGAGACACGAGTTTACATGCGACATCAGTTTTCATGCGTGTTTCAGTAAGTTTTGTACACGTTGCAGATTCCTGTGCAGAAAAAAATCTACACATTGTACTAGAGTTGCAGTGTGAACAGGGCACATAGAGTACAGTTGTTTTCTTTGTGCACTTGCAGAACGCGTGCAAAAAAAACCACTTCTCTGTGCCATGGTGTGAACTAAGCCTTAAGTGGAATTAAACACATCATTTTAACGGTTTCAAAGAAGAGTTAAATTCCCACATGCTGGGAATGCTACCTGTCACATTTGCTTGTGCTCTCAACCAAAATTTTAAATGCTTGAATGGCTGGGGTCAAAACTGATGTGTAGCTTCATAGCTGTTGCAGATCAACCAGAGGCTAAGATGGCAGCTTCTTTGACTGAAAAGGATAGGGGGTTTAAGCCTAGTGGACCTTGTTCACACCATACATGCAGAGAAACTGATGTGCAGATTTCACTTACAGAGACATCAGTTTACATCAGTTTTCATGTGCACTACAATGAGTTTTTTTAAACATGTTGCAGATTCCTGCGCAGAAAAAAAATCTGTATGTGATACTGGTGTTGTGGTGTGAACAGGGCACATAGAGAACATTTGATTTCATTGTGCCCTTGCAGAACGCATGCAGAAAAACTGACGTCTCTGCACCATGGTGTGAACAAGTTCGTACACACGATGAGAAAATCAGACAAACAAAATACTGCTTTCAGAGCAACCATCCAATAATCTGATCACTAGTATACAGCTTTTGATAGTCGATTATGACAGTTCATGCAAAATTATCCAAAGGGACAAGCACGACAAAATTTCTTGTAGGATAATAGAACAAACAATTTTCATTTGTACAGTATTCATCCGTAAAGGGGAAAAAAAAATCAAGTGACCAAAACCGCACATGCTTGGAAACGAAAGAATACATTTCAATACAATACATTACGTCATCGCTGGAGTTGTATTTTGTCTTACGACAATTTTCGGAACTCTAATAACCTATTTGTTTTGATTAGCTTGCAAAAACAAAAAAAAAAACAGACGATTCGTCCAATATCTCATGGTGTAAAACAAGGCTTAAGTTCCGCTTTACCAATCTGTCTATTATTGTTTTTTCTGTGCAGACTTGAACTGAATGGAACAGTATGATTGGCAGCTGTTAACAAGAGTGTGGGAAACAGGGAGTGTGAACTATTTAAAAAAATGTATTCTATTCTTGCTAGAGTGTTTATTTCTCTACATCTTTTTGGTTAAGATTATCGCTCATCAGTTCCCTGAAGTGAAGTTTTCTATGGTTCATAAGAAGATCAACCTGGCAGAAGATACATTGGCCTGGGAGCATGAGCGATTTGCTATCCGAAGACTTCCCTCTTTCACCATCTCACATCTAGAAGGACATCGCAGTGGTCACAGGAACAGTGTCTTGGATCTCAGGCAAGATGTTTACCAACATGGGGAAAATAATGTTAACATTGTATACGAAGGGAAAGTGTGTGCATGTTTATTATATGGTAGCATAGTACATTGCTTTCAAAATGCTGACTGCCAGTTACTTAAAGGGCATACATACCCCAACAATGATCTTCCCATGTATTTGCTTTCTTTTGGTTTGTTAAATATACCATTGAAATATTGCGAGCTGGTAACTTCCATTTCTCTTGGCCCTGCGCTTACTGTTATCAGTTGCATTGTTCCCAGTTATCTATGTGAACTACTGAACACCTCCTATGTTACAGAACACCCTGTAGTTCTGTCTTAGGGTGACAGTGCTGCTCCATCATAAATACAATACATTGTAAGCATTTTCAATCTAGATCAGAAAGTATGTTACTGGCAGGATACCCAGGGGGGACACAGACTGAAAAAAAGAAAAATCTAAGGCATCGACTACATGTATGAACTTGTAAAGTGCAAAATTGTTATTTTTGGATCTTTTGATACACCTTTTTAACCTCCTCCCGCCAGGCCTATAGACAAGTGACTTAGTGGGCCACTGCCGGTACCATGTGATCGTTGTGACCAATCACAGCAGAACACATGGTAATTGTACACCATGAACAGCTACCATTCATATATAAGTCTGAGTATAGCTGACCCTCCTCATAACCAGCGCTCAATTGTGTAAACCAAAATGTGAATCAAACATAATATTAATAAATATAAATGGAAAATAGAGCGGAGGCAGTGCTTCCACCACAGTGTATCAGAGTGAAAAATGCACACAGTCCAGTCCACCTTATCAGTCTTAAATAATTTCTGCATTCCAACAAACCCACTCCAACACCTTTGCGATCTTGCAGTGATTGATTAGCACCCCATCAAAATGGACACTCATCAGATACTGGAGAATAACCAGCAGTGGAAAATCTCCTCCTTAACAGCAAATATTGGTGAATAACCAGCAGTGGAAAATCTCCTCCTTAAGAGCTAGACAGTGATACCCCATCCAGGTAAATGAATGAAATATAGAAAGGATCCTTCTGCGCTCCACAGAATCTTTAACCTAAAGTTAGCTGCTATCACCTATTCTTTATACCTCAAGATATGTGCAAACAAATTATATATTGTGATGAAGCGCTCAACTTATATAGTGTATAAAATACCTTCTTACATCAAAATTATTGTGAAATTCCCAAAATAAATAATTAATTCCTTCTTAAATTCTACCAACCTATACAAATAACTACCGTATTTGCCGGCGTATAAGACGACTGGGCGTATAAGACGACCCCCCTACTTTTCCTGCTAAAATGTAGTGTTTGGGCTATACTCGCCGTATAAGACTACCCCTCTTCCAGTGCACACCAGTGGGAGGAATAGTGTCCCATCATTGGTATCAGTGGCAGGAATAGTGCCCCATCATTGGTATCAGTGGGAGGAATAGTGTCCCATCATTGGTGTCAGTGGTAGGAATAGTGCCCCATCATTGGTATCAGTGGGAGGAATAGTGTCCCATCATTGGTATTAGTGGGAGGAATAGTGCCCTATCATTGGTATCAGTGGGAGGAATAGTGCCCCATCATTGATGTCAGTGGCAGGAATAGTGCCCCATCATTGGTATTAGTGGCAGGAATAGTGCCCCATCATTGGCATTAGTGGCAGGAATAGTGCCCTATCATTGGTGTCAGTGGAGGAATAGTGCTCCATCATTGGTGTCAGTGGGAGGAATAGTGCCCCATCATTGGTATCAGTGGCAGGAATAGTGCCCCATCATTGGTATCAGTGGCAGGAATAGTGCCCCATCATTGGTGTCAGTGGGAGGAATAGTGCCCCATCATTGGTGTCAGTGGGAGGAATAGTCCATCATTGATGTCAGTGGGAGGAATGGTGTCCCATCATTGGTGTCAGTGAGGGGTGGAATAGTGCCCCATCATTGGTGTCAGTGGGGGGTGGAATAGTGCCCCATCGTTGGTGTCAGTGGGGGGGGGGGGAATAGTGCCCCATCGTTGGTGTCAGTGGGGGGGAGGAATAGTGCCCCATCGTTGGTGTCAGTGGGAGGAATAGTGCCCCATCGTGACATCAGTGACACCAATGATGGGGCACTATTCCTCCCACTGAGACTTGCTGACCCTGTTCTCGTATGGTGCTGCTGCAGCCAGCATATGTGGTTGCAGCAGCACCTCTACACAGAACACTTACCTGCTGCTCCGGCACTCAATTTTCGCGGGGACGCTCGGCTCCGCCCCCTCGCCGGTGATTGGCCGCCTGTGTGCCTTTCCTGAGCTACAGTTCTGGCGGCCAATCACCGGTGAGGAGGCGGAGCCGAGCAGCCGCACGAACATCCAGTGGCCGAACTGAAGGAGACGCCGCGCTTCCTGGACCGGATCGTCGTGGGACTGGATCCAGGTAAGAGACATCAGCCCCTGCAAACCCCTGTACTTAATGCCGCAGCCCCCCTAACATGTGTACCGGCGTATAAGACGACCCCCGACTTTTGAGAAGATTTTCAAGGGTCAAAAAGTCGTCTTATACGCCGGCAAATACGGTAGTGCAAGATTCCCACACACAAATTATAAGCCCCCTAGTGGTAAACCGTGATAATTAACTAATAACACTTTATCTGTGCAAAGTGATAAATATATCCAATTGCATAAAATAAAACAGTTCAAAAACCAATTCAAAAAAACTTGTGATGCCACACTGTGCAAAATATTAATAAGTGTTCAATACACAGTGATAAAACTTCACTCCATGCTGCAATTGTGCTCTTCGTGATACTCTGATGTGACTCCCCTGGATTTAGCCAAAATGCCCCCCTCACCTTCCACATTCGACCCTTGCGGGTCACAAAGCTTTAAATATATAATATCTCTGCCAGGTTTTCACACTCCACTGACTCCACCGACTCAATTAAGATCCTCCTCCAAGCAATGATTTCCTCTCAGATCACTTCCTCATAATATGGACTCAAACACAGGGCGTATATGCAAGACAAAGACAGACCTCCATAGTGCAATACTGTTTTAATGCACTTTAAAATAGAAATGAATAACACTCACATATCCTCCAACATAGAAAAGCAGTTTCCCATGTGCTATGGGTATACTCAGGTGTACAAAGATGGCGTCCGTACCTGCAACCGGAAGTACGTCACCCCTTTGACCGGAAATGCGTCGACGCGTTGCGCCACGATCACGTGGCTTCTTCAGGATGCCGCATTTGATGACAGAACTTCCTTTTAAACCCTTAGGATAATTTACAAGGGGCGTGTATTACCTCCATTTTCTTGGAGCCCAATATACATAAGACGGCCATGTGCCGCCACCGCTTCCCCTGGTGTCCCATTGTACCTCCTCTACTATTCCTAAACTTATTGTATTCACTTCCCAATTATAAAAATACTTTATTAAACAAATTAAATTCATTTTAAAATATATTAAAAACTATATTTAAATAAATTAGTATATATTCCTTACTAAATATATATATATAAATAAATATATAAAATGACAAAGGGATTGATAGATATATGTATATAAATAAATAAATCACACATATCTACAAAAATTATATCTCAACTCCCACATAAAATTTTATATCAAGAGTACATTAAACCCACCCCAATTAATAATATTTAAATATAATACAATTATAATCTGAACATATTAATTTTAAAATTGAAGAAATATTAATTTTAAATTAATTATCATACTAATTCCACATAATTTTAATAAAACATAATCTAATGAAGAACTCCTGTGTAACACCCATACCACATGTTTACATGAATAAAATCATAAATATACTATTCTTTTAAGATATTCTTTAAACCACCAATTTATACATTAAACATTACACATTTTTCTTTAATAAATAACCAAGCAGTATTAAAAATCATTAATAAAACAATTGAGGTCAAATTCAATATTTAGACCTCTAGGTGTTTTTTTGAATTGGTTTTTGAACTGTTTTATTTTATGCAATTGGATATATTTATCACTTTGCACAGATAAAGTGTTATTAGTTAATTATCACGGTTTACCACTAGGGGGCTTATAATTTGTGTGTGGGAATCTTGCACTAGTTATTTGTATAGGTTGGTAGAATTTAAGAAGGAATTAATTATTTATTTTGGGAATTTCACAATAATTTTGATGTAAGAAGGTATTTTATACACTATATAAGTTGAGCGCTTCATCACAATATATAATTTGTTTGCACATATCTTCAGGTAAATGAATGATCAATAATACATTCTCCTTCCAAACTCCACAGTACCATCACTCAAGCGTAAGAATCCAATTCAATACATGGGTGAAAAAGTGGAAGAAACCAGATCGTGTAACTCCCTTTTTAGAGCCTTAATTGCCTCAATCCCCTCTTAAAATACACTCACATTTTAATAAATGAATTAAGCACAAAAACACAAGTAAAACGTTGGTAAGCGTTACTACCGCTTTAATGGTGTGATAGCATCTCACCGCACACATCGCTTTTACTAACTTCCGCATAGAGAGAGGTCACGTGGTGTCAGTGAGCGTGCTGACGTCACGGATGGTCACACCCTGATGTATTTCATCATTACGACTTCCTGTGAGGGAGCACACTCTCAGAGGAAGTCATAATGACGAAAAATAGAAAACCCAGTGGTGATTTAAATGCCATCAAAAGAAATCTCTATTTGTGTGAAAACAGGATAAAAACTTCATTTGGGTACAGTGTTGCATGACTGAGCAGTTCAAAGTGTGACAGCACTGAAAGGTGAAAATTGGCCTGGGTAGGGGAGGGGGTCAAAGAAAGTGTCCATTATTGAAGTGATTAAAAATGCATCTACTATTATAAAGCTGTAATTACATGAGCACAGTAAACGTTTTTCTTTCACATCCATTAAGGGACACTGGAAGTCTTTAAAATTTGTGTTGTGCTGCCATCCACAGTAGGATTGGCCACTGCCAAAAAAAACACTGTCCCGGATTATACCTCCCTAAACCAGC